GTAGATTAAAAAAAATAGTTTATAAAAACTGACACAAGAAAGGGCATTTATGAAAAACCCACAACTAACATCCCACTCAATGGTAATAGACTGAAACCTTTCCCCCAAAATCAAGAACAAGACAAGGATGCCACCTTTACCAGTACTATTCAACATTGTACTGGAATTTCTAGCCAGAGCAATTGGGCAAGAAAAAGAAATAGAAGGCATCCAATTGGAAAGAAGTAAAACTATCTCCATTTACAGATAACCTGATTCTATATATAGAAAATCCCATAGTATCCACTAAAAAACTACTGGAGCTATTAATAATAAATTTAGCAAAATTTCAAGTACAAGGTCAACACACAAAAATCAGTAGTGTTTCTATGTACCAGCAATGAACAACCTGAAAAGGAAATAAAGGAAACAATTCCATTTAAAATAGTATCCAAAAGAATAAAATTCCAAGGAACAGAGTTAACTAGTGAAGTGAAAGACTTATACAGTGAAAACTATAAAACATTGCTGAGAAATTAAAGAAGACCTAAATAAATGGAAAAGCAGCCCATATTCATGGATTGATAGACTTATTGTTAAGATGGCAGTATTCCCCAGAGCAATCTACAGATTCAGTGCAGTCCCTATCAGAATTTCAGTGGCCTTTTTTGCAGAAATGGAAAAACCTATCCTCAAATTCATTTGGAACTGAAAGGGTCTCCAAATAACCAAAACAATTTTGAAAAAGAAAAACAAAATAGAAGGACTCACACTTCCTTCCTTCAGAACTTACTACAAAGCTACAATAACCAAAACATTGTGTGTTTAGGAGGCCAAGGCAGGAGGATCGCTTGAAGCCAGGAGTTCAAGACCAGCCTGGGCAACACAGCAAGACCCCATCTCTACAAAAAAAAATTTAGAAATTAGCCAGGCATGGCGGTGCACACCTGTAGTCCTGGCTACCTGAGAGGCCGAGGCATGAGGATTGCTTGAGCCCAGGAGTTCAAAGTTGCAGTGAGCTATGACTGCACCACTGCACTCCAGCCTGGGCAATAGAGCAAGACTCTGTCTCTATTTAAAAAAGAAGAAAACACTGTGGCCCTGGCATAAAAGATAGACATATACACCAATGGAATAGAATTGAGAGTTGAGAAATAAACCCAGACATCTACAGCTAACAACAAGAGTGTCAAGATCATTCAGTGAGGAAAGAATTATTTCTTCAACCAGTGGTGCCAAGATAGCTGGATATTCACATGCAAAAGAAATGAAGTTGGGCTTCTGCAAAACACCATATACAAAAATTAA